ACTTGGACCCTTAGGGTAGGATGTTTATCATTACAATTTCAGGGGTTCTGCTAATCGTAGACCAAGCAATGCTTGATGAAACCTTCTTGCAATTGTTGAAAGCTTCCGACATGCTCCAGCTGAGGTCATGGACCCTCATGGAATGCGATCTGCGACAGTCGCGCCGGAGTAGTTATGTCAAAGCGAGCCGTGTGCCAAGTTGTTTCAGGGGCAGATGTAGGGACTTGTTAGGGCTACTATATATGAACAAGTTTGAGCACGGCTTGAGTTACAATCCTGCTTCAACCCCCAAAGACTAGGATTCCACTGTTCTTGCGAACAGCCCTCATGTTGCGGCAGGCATTTGTCATTTGATGACATTGAAGTGTCGGCACGAGTGAAACATACTTGCGCCCCCATGACAGCGGACATACTACCTGCAATAATTCGTTGCGACTTTGGGCACAACACATGAGCTATAGTCTAAANNTACCCCTTAATATCCCCTATAATACTCCCCTATATAACCCCTGGTTAATCCCCTTTGAGATAAGGAGTTTAGACTAAGTATGACGCACATGGCGAGGGTGGGTCGCTTGTGGCGTCTCAGGGCTTTGCCTCGGCCGTGCTACATGCGCTTCCTGAAGATGGGTGCTGCCAAAAGCCATAGTCCCCCTGAAGTAGATAGAATATGGCTTTGGGTATATATTATTTTAAGATCCCCATATACCGCATGTTCTTTCTACTTAAGGGGGACTATATACCTAAACCCCAAAAGTATGTAGAAAAATGGTCCAGAACCTTCAACAATGCTCCAAAAGGCTTTTGTTCCGCATACCTTGAGGGTCCAGGTAGTCCCCGTTCTACGTAGCTAGAAATACAGAATTCCCTGAAGCCAATAGTAATATCCGCATCTACTTAAAGGGGATTATAGGCAGATGCCAAGAATGCCAAGTCAGGGTTACCGGGTCCCCAAGTTTCGCCTGCCAGGTGCCCATGACCTTAATTGCATGCAGCAAAGTCCTAGCCAGACTCAACCATTGTTGACTTGACAGCACCTGACACAAAAGCATACCTTTCATTTGCTGAGAGAACAGCAGAAACTAGAAACTCCAGAACTCCTACGTGAAGCTTTACAAATACAGCGCAGGCGAACCTTGAAGAGTTTTGCAGGCAACATGCTGGTGCAGATCAGGGCTGCCAAGTACGTACTGTAGCTTTGACACTGCTCGTATCTTCAATGCCGCGATGGGCATGGCCATCATGATGGAGCCCAGTCTGCCGAGGTGATATGCTGTCATCCAGGTGCAGGTTCGGCCTTACGCACAGGCGCGGGTAATGGCACAGCAACCGCAGACAATTTGATCAGATCAGAACAGGCTCTCTCACCCCGGTGCGTGTTGGAAAGGATTGAATATTTGTTATGTACAGTACTGTAAGGTCGCAGATCTTCGCCAATCGCCAATCTATGCCCCGCCCATAGACTCCCTGTGATCTTCAATTTCCCCAATTAGTTCTCTTGATTCTGCATGCCGCAGGTTCAAGGTTGTTATTCAGCTCGTCCTCTGTAACCATAAACGCAGCGATAAGGACGTCTCAAATTCATGGTTCTCTTTTGCCAGATGGGGCATGCGGTGTCGGTTGTGGGTGGGAATTTGCCTGCGGAAGGCAAGCAGCGTGGTGCATGCATGGACTGATACCTTCAGCCGCGAATGCACAAACAGTCCCCAAGCATGCTCAGAGATAATACTATTGTATTAGTCTTCGTCAGCTATGTGAGGAATCTGCTCTGCTTCACAACTCAGATTGGGGAGCAGCGCCATAATGCCTATCTGACAGTTTTGGCTGCATGGCATGTTTTGCCAGGTCGCCTGGATGCTTCGCACATGAAGGCAGGATAGCACTAGAACTGAAGACAGGTTTTGTCATAGTAGGAGACCTACGCATGGCGGCATTCTAGTCTGATCACCTCCTGGCAATTAATTCTTGTGTGGCAATGATCGTCCAAGTTCGCCACATCAGGACACTTTAGCTTTAGGCAATACGGGAATTAGAATTTCGGGCTTGTGCATGTAGGGGGATTTAACTTTAGCTTGCATTACGTTGGGTTCCCTGGGATCCTTGTTTTGAGTGCAGAACCCAGAGGTTTAGCTTCGCCTTGAAGGCACTGTTCTGGAGACTGCTACTCGTGTCGTGCAGACTCGCTCATGATGCTAACATGCTTTGGACAGCTGTGTTCTCGAATTCCTCACACGTTCATTTGCGGCATGGACTACTGTCTTCCAGAATTCCCCACAAGTTCGTTTGGGCCCTCCATAGACAATGTCTGGCTGATTTCTATCTGAGGAAGGAGACTCATTCCGAGGGCACGAGAATTCGCAGACCCATAATCAGAAGCCCATCGGCCCATCGCAATGGCACTACAACAATTCAGACACTTCCCAGAATACATGGTATTCACTCAACTTACTGTTACATGTGGTATAGGTAAGGAGGACCCCCCACCCTGTAATAGTGGTAGAACAGAAATATTTAGTACGGCCCTAATAAAATCCTTACTATCCCCTATCGTCACCACTACAGGGTGGGGGGTCCACGTAAGGCATAGGTCCCTATCTGGGCCAACGTTGTAGCACGTTCCCCACAGCTGTGGGAACAGCAAGGCAGTCAAGCTCCCACATGGAAGGGTTTAGTGAGGGGGGTAGGGTTTCGAGGTTCGGGTTTAGTGTTTAGGGGTAAGGGTTTAAGGTTTAGGGTGAGACTATTGTCAGACAATGGTGCCTTAGGTTAGGACCTTCACCTGGCCATGCTGGTCGCGCTGGCTGAAAAAGATCTCTGCTGAAGTTGGCCAGATGCCAAGCCGTAGCTTGCAACATGTCCAGATGCCCGTGCGCATGCAGCAACTACTTGCTTGTGGTATAGAGGTAGGACCTCGTTTTAGGACCGCACCTGATTTGATGGTGGTATTTTTAGTAGTGAGATTCGAACCGTGGAATAGTAAAGTGCTGCGCCGACCTTGCCGGAAGATCTGGACGGCTCTTCTTTTGATGGATGATGCTTCATAGTATGTATCAGGCTATAGACGAAGGGTTGCTGCTGCTGGCCTCACACTCAGGCTCTTTGGTTTGTTGTTCTGCTGCCAGACATTGCTTTAGAGTGTTGACCATTCAGAAACATGTGGAGTGAATGACATGCTGAGCTTGGTTGAAGCATTCCGCCACAGATTTCCGCGTAAAGCCGTCAGCTGGCTCGTTGTTTGATCCTGGCTCGCGCTAATCGTGCGTGTGGGTCATGGGAAGCAAAATGTGATCGGGCACTTGAGAGCAAGCGCCGGTTGAGTTGAGGTGCGCACTTCCCCATCGAAGGCTAAAGCCCGGCACGGATGAGGGTCACATGCCTGGCCTTTCTTCATGCATGTTTGCTGTTGACCTCAGCTCGCAGACCAGAGTTTGAGGTGGCTACGTTTGACTCACCGATCCGGCTTCACCATGGAAAGACACACAATTCTACAACAAATCGGGTGCGTATGATGCACGGTCCCACATCACGGTCAACAAATGGTCTACAAATTGCGTCGCTTCAGACGCGCTGGGAGCAAATGGAGGAACGTCAGGCTGAAGAGCCCTATGCATATTCGACACGAAGCTCCAGCTTCTCAGATGTGTCAACGGTCCCGACCGACTTGTGCTCGGAGGAGTGTCGAGATGGTGTTTTGACACTGCAAGGCAATTACTCAATGAAGTGTCAACGCACATTCGAAAATTGCAGCAAAGTATCCGCGCACGGTGCCTTCTTGGCACTTAGCCATACCCTGACCTTTGACTCTCCGTTTGTAGAACTCGAAGGCAACCTGACTCTGTGGGCGACTGCTAAGGGCTTCCTGTGCCTCAACATAGTTGGTGTTCTGAGAGTAAACTCCGGAAGCATATCCGTGAGCGGCTGCAAGCCCGACAGTAAAGACTCACAGCTGGGCGGTGGCATTCGGAGCAGAACGTTCATTCAAGAGGATGGCAGCATCAGCATCAGCAACTGCATGGCTAAAGGTGGGTCTGTTGGTCTTGGAGGGGCTATTTTCACACAGGCGTTCAGTCAGACTGGAGGGAACCTTGCAATAAAACAGTGCGCAGCCAGCAGTGATCTCTCATCTTCAGGTGGTGCCATCTATGCTGGAGAATCGTTTCTCCAATCCGGCGGGACCATCACAATTGAAGACTGCACAGCTTTCAGTAGAAAGGGATTCTCCAAGGGAGGTGCAATCTCTTCCACAGAAATCAAGATCAAGGGCGCCGCACATCTGACAATCAGACGCTGCAAGAATCACATGGGCAGTTCCAAGAAGCGTGCCAGGAAGTATGGAGGCTCGATGATTGTCTGTCCAGCAAGGACGATGGCAAGAGGTTTGGGTAGGATTGGGGAGAGTATGGTCAATACTAACCATCAAACCCGTGGGCGCAAGCAACTAAGCATTCTTGTGCTTCACTGCTAACCACACCGTACCGCATGCACCATGATTCGCCCCGGCATCACAATCTGATAATTTCCTGAGGCACGTCTAGAGGGTGTTTGCGAGAGTATACCAACTTCCAACAGCTTCAGCAAATTCTGGCCGGGTCTTTACGGTAAGTCTGTCGTGTGCTGTCTCTTCCTCAGAGGGCAAAGACAAGGTTCCTTCAGCCAGATTTGTCTTCATGTTAGGCAGTCTTCAGTTTCGCAGGCGGAGCCATATTCTCCAGCATGTTTGCTCTCTCTGGCGGCGAAGTTCTCATTGAAGATTGCCTGTCATCGAGTTCGACTCAACATTCTGCAGGGGGAGCTATCTATGCGTTGAGGATTCTTGTCGTCGAGTCCTCTTCGAATCTCACCATTGGAAGGTGTGTCGCAGCTGTCAGGAACAACGCGAATCAGGTACATGGAGGTGCGGTGTTCAGCCAAAAGGATTTTACGCAGCGCGGCGGTAGCATTAAGATCTACGATTGTGCCGCACGTGGCAGAACTCACGTACGCGGACAGTTTTTCTCTTCAGGAGGAGGCATTAGCTCGCCGCACTCCTTCACCCAATCTGGGGGCAGCCTAGTCATTCGCAACTGTACAGCGCAGATGGGCCAAGAGGGGTCAAGCAGGGGTGGCGCAATCTACACCCACTTGCTTCGCACAAGCGGCAGGATGAACCTTGAGGCAAGCAGCGCTGAAGGATCTGTGCATGGCCACGGCTTTGGAGGTGCAATTTTCTGCACAAACATATCCATCGAACACCAAGCAAGAGTTACCATTAAGCTATGTAGAGCTGAAGGAGGGCTTTGGTGCAGTGGAGGTGCTGTTCACGCTGCGAAGTTCTTTGAGCAATCTGGCGGAAGTATAAGCATAAGAAATTGCACGCTGAACAGTTTCGACAACAAATCTTTTGGTGGGGGCGTGTCTTGCAAGAAGGCCTTGCAAAGCCGTGGACGCGTGGTGCTGCAAGCTTGCAGCGCACAAGAGCGTGGCGGAGGCCTTTATGCAGAAATCTCTGCGCAGCAATCGGCTGGGGCAAGCGCTAGGTTTGAAGGCTGTCAGTCCTTTGCACATGGTGGCGCTGTTTCTTCTGCAGGCGACGTGACACTGCATGGAGATATCGTTTTGCGCAAGTCGTCGGCCCCGTTTGGGAGTGGCGGATGCTTGCACATAGATGGTGACCTCAATGCATCCGGGCTGTACTTCCATGACTGCTCTGCCGGTATCTCGCGTGGTGCGCTCTTTGCTCGAGGACACACCAACGTTGAGAAGATATCTGTCACCAGGTGCTCTTCTGCAATCTCATCTACTGCTTTAGTGCAAGAGGGCTCCTTGGAAGTGGCGAATCTGGAGGTGACGGGCCTGCTGAACGACCATCTAGGGCAGCACATGGTGGTGACTGGCCAGGCTGCTGGAGAACATTGGCAAGTCCGTTGTAGTTAGTGAGAGATACAATGTTTTCCCTATGAGGCTTCACTTTTCTTGATTGTCATGGGCACTTCAGAACCACTAGATCAAGGTTTCTTGGCATTCTAAACTGCAAACTTAGCTAAGGCAAATTTGGGCTCGTTGACGTGTGACAACAGATGGGAGTGCACACTGCAGGCCCCAGGCGAGAAGCACGTCCAGCGTCTCTTTTGCTCTGCATGCTTGCGTGCACAGTGTGAATGTGTGAGCCCTTTGATGTTCTATCAAGAAGATGGACCCATGCTTTTGATTTCGGCAAGGGTCTGATCACGCCTGATGAGAATAACCTTAATTTCGGGGCCTGCTTTTGATGGCGCTGGAAAGGTGGCTAATGCATTACCATAAGCTTGACTGCAGTTAAACTTCGCAACGATGAGGTTGCCAGACTTAGAGAAACCCCCTTTCTCGAGGACCGGCGGTGGTATAGAACTTAAAGACCATTGATATTAAATGAGATGAGGGCCTGCGTGCTTACACGCAAGAGAACAAGTGCAGCCATTCTTAAGAATCCAGGATTAGGACTCCTCCAGCAACGAGATGACGGCCGCGGATTGTACAAGATGGATCATGCTATAGGTTTCAAGCAAAGCCTCGGCTTGATATCAAGCAAAGCTTGGGCACTAGGCTTGACATCGACAAAGCCATGATCTGATCTCATTTGTCATGCTGTCCTCCCTGGGCTTTTCCTTAGCTCGATCATGAAACATAAAGCGAACAAAATGAGGAGCCGCAGACTAGAAAAAGCGCATACATGAAAGTCGTCGCGCGTACGAGTTTCAGTCTAGCAAGACATGCTCTTGACGAAGACTGGCTGCTTTCCAAGCAAGAACACAAGGGCCTTCTGAGTCAGGCAAACCCTGCTGCAAGGGGATGAGTGCCGTTCAAAAACCAACCCTCCCATGCGCTCTGAATCCTAAGGTATACGTTTGAGAAGGCTAGACAAAAGAAGACAAAGCAAGTGCCAGCAAGAGCGTTTCCCAATATCCAAAACTTGGACGTGACAATGGTTTTCTTCTCTGCTTCATACACACTCGCATGTGATTTCTATGAGCTGTCGACCTCCTTCTAGAGGCAAATGCACAAGGCAAAATGGGTTGCTTCTATGCCCTCGAGCCTGCACAAGCAGTCCAGGTACTGGGCGGGAAGATCGTGTTGGGGTTGTCGGCTGCTATCGTTGTCCTTCCGCTACGATGCGGTTGATTGATGAGGTTACCCGGTGGTTCAGCATAGACCTTTAAGTTTGTCCAAGTAAAAGGGAGGAAGGTAACCATCCCTCTCCTCAGCGTGAACAAAATCAAGCTAGCCTTGCCTTCGAGATGTCTTGAGACCGTATCTGAGGAGAATGCCGTGTGCCAGCTGTGTCCGGAAGGCTCGGAGGTCTGTGCTCCAGAACGGCTGACAATGCCTGCTGGCATGATGGTGGATTGGCAAAACTTGTCGGTTGGCATCTATTGCCCCAATGCGCTGGCCTGCCGTGGTGGCTCGATGACTCACTTTGTTGCCAGCGATAACAGCACCATTCGCAGAGAAGTCTTTCAGAATATGTGTGCGCCGGGATACACTGGCAGCGGGTGTTGGGTATGTTCAGATGGATACGGCAGGGCTGATGACGCAGCCTTGCGCTGTGTAAAGTGTCCCGCGCCCTCATCTTACAGCTTGGCCAGGGTCATGCTGTTCTATGCTTCCACGGATTGCTGCACCGATGATTTTTCTTCGCATTGCCAATGAGAGCCACTCTTAACTTTGTATAGAACCAGCATAAACTTATTCCACTTACCTGGCATTGTGCAGGACTCCTGGCTCTTTCTCTCCGCGGCCGCCGGTGTTCTCATGGCCACGACGGAGAAGAAGCAAACCGCGGTGCTTCTGAATCAGTTGATGGCGTTCGCTACCGTGTCCAACATTGTGAGTAGCGGCTTGTTCCAGACAAGCTCATACCAGTCTCTACAAAGCGATGCACGCATGTTCTTGGCATCCGCCAGCGGAGTGGCAGATTTTGCGCAAGGCTCCGCAGGCGGAGCCATGTCCAAGGATTGTCTTTTGAGCCAACTCGGATTGTCCGGGTCCTTGTGGGCAACGCACCTTGCTTCTACCATCATTCCCGTCCTGCTCATGATGGGTCTGGCCTTAACCCGAAATCCGGGACTGTCTCTTGTTGTGGGAACCAATGTGTTCCTTCCAGGCCTGGCTTTGAACCCCCCCCGCCGAAAGTGCCTATTATCCAGCGGTGTACGCTCAGTGTCTAGTTACCTACATCCCTTCATCATAGGATTCCTGACCTAATCTAGGACCCTCTTGACATGTTTGAGAATTCAAGCTTCGTCCGCGTCAGGTTTTACGGCGGCCTTTGGCAAGTACCTCATCGCCTTTCGCTTGAAGCCGGAAGAGCAGAATGGTCAGGCTTGGGATGGTGTAGATCAGCCACAACCCTGCCCCATACAACTCCAAGATGCTTGCCTTACCGTAGTGCTCCAAATAGCCCAATGTAGGTCATATTCATAGACTTTAGGGGGCCCAATGTAGGTGCTATTTATAGACTTAGTTGCCTTAGTTGCCCCAAGGTTCAAAACAACAGGGAGTGCGCTTGAGTTAACTCGCATCTTGCGCGAAGATACAGCAGCAAAACCAGTCGTTGCCAATCGCAGTTTCTCTCCTCCTTCCCATGTCAAGGTGCTTATGCCTTTCAGGCTTGGCATCGGCCTCGATTCTGATTTGGTGATTGTTCCAGTGATCATTTCGCTCTGCTTTGTAGTGGGGGTGCTTGGGTGGCTTCAAGCAGCCCACGTCAAAGCCGACAGCAACGGCAAAGTGCCAAACTATGTCTTATACCTCACCCAGTCGTATAAGCCAGAATGCAGTGTGTGGGAAATTGAGCGCTTGGTTCGGAAGATGCTCCTATCCCTGACCACGCAAGTATTACCCGTGACATATTCGCCGGCCAGTCAGATGCAGCTGGTGTCCGTGATCCTTCTCGCAGCCTTGCTACTACATTTTCGCTACAAGCCTTACAAGAATGAGTCGTGGAACACTATCGAGGTGAGGTTTGCAAAAGGGAGGCTTCTATATGTTATTGCTTATGGTTGTTTTAATGATTTGGAAGTGTGATGCTTATTTGTGGTGATACCCCAGGTGGCACTTTTGGCAACAGGGCTCCTCCTCAGTGGAGTCACGACGACCTTAATCGCCAACGACTTGCACTGGGCCCGTACTGCCAGAACAGGCATGGACTTGGTCTTGCTATTATTGACTCTTACTATGATTGTTGGTACTACTACTGTTACTATAATTATTACTACTGCTGCTACTACTACTACTACTGCTACTACTACTACTACTACTGCTACTCTCAGTATTTTTGCTATTATACAACAGGTATCGTCTTGATGATGTTCGTGTTCCTGCTGGTCACAGTCATTTGTGACTCGGCTGCTCTGCAGGGAAACCTGCGCAACCAGCACATAATACCGTGATTGTCCAAAGGCTCAAATAGTTTGCAGGCCTGTAAACAGCAGATCATGTGGGCCCAAAGTATGCACCATCTAGCAAATTGGACCCGTAGGGCAAAAGGTTCCGAACTGATGGGCACGATGCAGAGGAGAAATACCCGCCAACCAGGCATGTGATGAACTATCAACTGCACACAAACATGTCGTGAAGCAATGTGTTTCCACTTATCCCACATAACGTTTTCCAAAATTGCCTCAGTGGACGGCTGAGACCCCTGACGGTCCCCATAGCGTAGACTCTCTATCCCTCGATGGCCAGGATGGCCTGGCCTGGATACTAGGAAATGCATGACCTAGGGTTTTGGGCTGGGGTGTTGGGATTTTGGGTATGGTAGTATACTAAGGTCATGCAGGCAGGAGTGTTAGCGTCAACAGGAAGACAACATTGAGTTGAAGAGTTTCAAGCTTCAGCCCTCCTAAACAATTCACAGGCATGAGTTTCACTCATGATGTTTGGATGGCACAATTTCTACAATGGCAATATCTCCCTGAAAAATCCCACGTGTAAATACACTCACAAACAAGCAAACTAAAGAAGAGTTATCCAGACCGCACACAACCCATCTACAAACCCTATCATCAATACATGTTCCCTGTCTTAATCCGTCAAACTCTGCTCAGTTCGATGGTGGGAGGGAGGCATTTTTGCGTGGCCGCCAAGGGTTTTTTCAAGTTATCCCTTGTATACATCCTGCGAGAGGCCCAGAATCCCGTAAACGCCAAACCGCGTGCTTGGGTATCCCAAGGCTTCCAAAGCTATCCCACATTTAAGAAACTTTACATCATCCTGAACACCGTTGAGGGTCTATGTAGATCTTGTCATTACAGTAGGGTATATTTTCAAACCGCATCCCATAGAAGCACAAAGGGGACCCCTGTTATATCTTCATAACCCCTTCATATCCCATGGTTCTAAGTTGGAAACCAATTGCAGGTGGGTAATTTCTAGGTGGGGCTTCTACTAGAGCATTCCCATTCTGACCTGTCATAACTATTTGTGGACCTTCAAGCGGGTGATACAGCGTGCAGGTCAAGGGGTGGATCTCCAAGTATCTTACAAGTTGAAAGGATTGCACGAAAGACAATTTCCCTTGTATACCAAAATAACTTTGTTGGAAGATGTTGCAAGTGGAGCAGACCTATGTCTCTATGGATCCCTTTTCGAAAGCCGCCCTCCAGGCTCCCTGTGGCTTTCGTGTAGCTGACCGTAAGCCCCCAACCCTCGTGTGTCTCACAGCCCATAAGCCGCAGAACCAGCTTTATGTCAAGGTGGGACGATGATTGTCCTCGTCATGTTGAACATGCGCTTTTGCTGTCTCAGCATGGAGTTTTGATTTTTGGGTGGTTTTTGTTGACTTAGGGATATGGGGTCCAGCGACTACAGCAGAGATTTCAGGGTTTTGGAGTACTCTTCGAGTAAATAGGCAGTATGGGATGCGGGCGACCTGAAGAATACATTGCAGTCTTTCTATATTGTATTCGAGTGCCTGCTACTGGCAGCTATACAGTGGATGGAGGAAATCTTGCACCGCTGGGGTCCCCAATGAATTGCAATTCCTAGGAGATAAGGTATAAAGGGTGGTGCAAGATTTCCTGTGTCCGCTGTAGGTTGTAGGTGCACTCTGACTCTCAGCTCGATGGCCCACAAATACACGAAAGCTTCGGATTATGTGGGGCCATTGAACTCAGCCCGTAGGTACTGGGAACGCCAAGCAGCAAGATCAGTTGACTCTGGAGATGCAGAGCGTCAAGGAGGCCGGAGAGAATTGTTATTTGTTCATATGCAGGGTACTGCCCCAAAACTATAACAGTTGGAGAATACTTCTAATATAGTCGTGTATAGCCCTGAATATGACCCCTAAGCATAGGCTCTTACAGGGTGGGGGGCGCTACCCAAGTTAGGGATGGGAAAAAACTGCAAAGAACACCCTGAAGCCGGGCTCGGCTTTGAGAACCCTGAGCCCTTACCAAAAACACCAAAAATCTTCTGAGCCCTACCCTAGGGATCCAAGTATATAGATAATACTTACATCGGGCTCTAACAGTCTGTACATGTTACCTATACATTGGGCTAGTTGGATATCTAGGGCTACTGCTGAAACTCCAAACGCCAAGCCCGAGATCCCTTGAGGCAAAGAACTCCCGCATGATGAAGTGAGGGCCGAGGCTGCTGAGATGGAACAATGACTAACAGGCTGCTGACAACAGGCCAACGTGGAAAAGAGGGCGGACCAAAGCTTGCGAATGTGGTTATACGCGTAAATGAGGGGCCCCAGTAGAATCAGAACACATACATTTAAAGTAATAATCTAAAGAAAGAAATCATTATAGTGCCGGGAGCCGGGGACTAGGGCTCGAGTGTTGGCTCATGCCTAGGTAACATCTTGCAGCAGGTGGCAAACAAGCATAGACACATCAATGAGCACATGTTCTTGGACTTCTCGGCGCCAAGGCGCTGTCAGGACTACAGCCAAGCTGCTGGCTGGGGCCGGGGCGTGAGGTGCTTGGCCAATGATTATGCCACGAAGCCTTAGGAGGCCCAGTCCCGATTGAATGGCGTTTGCGGGTTCAGAGTTAAGGATTCCTGGGTAATGAGACATGTGGTTGCAAGGGTATAGGGTGTGAGGGTTTTGGGTATCGGGCTTAGAATCTATAAGGACCCCCCAGCTACCTTTAAATAGGGCCTACGTATATCCGATGTGTTAGTTCCTCGGTACCTGGCGGGTGTAAACCAATGTAGGTCTAGGGTCTAGTGTTTCGCATGTAGGGTTTGGGACTAGTTAAGAGCTTTTGAGGTAACCTTCGGCCATTGCGCCATTGAGGGGAAGGCAGGGGCCTAATTCATTGCCAATTTTATTGTCCCATATTCATTGTACATGGTATAGTGTGCCTTGAATAGATCCTAAATGACAGTTGATGCCCCTACAGTACTCTGTGCGCAAAAGTTGTACTGCAAAGACAGCCTTGGCAAAGAGCTGGGCGACAGAGAAGGAAACAAGAGCAAGGGGATTCTCCTGACGGTCCAAGTTTAGGGTTTAGTTTGTAGTTCTGCGTCCAAGTTCCACAACTTAATACAATTTGAGCCAGGAGGGGTTCGCACATACAGATCTTGGAGTCGAAGTGTATACGATTTGGGAATTTGGGCCCGTGCGGGTCTTCTGCAGAGCCAAGTTTACAATTGCTAACAAAGTTTAGTGTTCATGGGATGTCGGGCTTAGCGCTCGCAAAACGGTAGGGTTTTCCTGGAGATATGTAGAGTCGTAGAGCGAAGCTTGCTGCGTGCTGGGCGGCATTTCAGAGACCCCGATTTTACAGCAATCCTCATATGTGTGTGTGGCTGAAATTTTTCTAGGCAACAGCATATGAGCTATAGTCTAAATTCCTAGTATCCCCGTTAATAAGCCCCATAACAGTCCCCTATACAATCCCCGATATAACCCCTTTTATGGAGTTTAGACTATAGCTCATATTTTGCTTGATGCGCCAGACTTGCTTTTTTTGAAGCACCTGACAAACCCCATGCTCAGGCATCCAAGTATCCATATTCCTTAAACACGGGGCGTTGGAAGTCCTGGGTGGGAGTTCTGTCAATAATGGCAAGAACAAGAAGACGACAATTCGGAATAAGATATTCATATGAATAATAACCAGAAGAATTTGAATCACAAACGATGACCCTAAAAGCATGACTAAGAAGATTCGCATTGGACATTGGCATGCCTAGGTCGTTAACTCTAAAACCTAAAGCTTCATTCCAAGGTACCTGGGTAGATACAACAAGCGGGGTTGTCATCAAGTTCTCATGTTAAGGGCATAGTCTCGGGAAATGAAAACCCCAATCACTTCCAGCTTACCACGCGGTTTAGGGTTTGTCAACTTTCGAAGCTCTCATATCAGGAATAGAATGGCCGTGCTCATGGCGTTGAAATTTCTATAACTGTCGTCGGGCTTCAAGGCCCTTGAATTGGAAAGATTCATTTACAGCAGGGCAAGAGAACTCTGCAACTGCGTTGCTGATTCAGAGGCCTCTCTGACCATAGCCACATATGGTACAAGGAAGCCCGAACACCTGGGTGCACCATTTCAGGTATAAGGTTATAGGGTGGCGCAAGATCTCCAAAAAGCTTGCACGTTGAGATGTCCTTAAGTTTACATACGGCAACAAAGGGAGCCAGTGCTGTCCGCCATTTAGCCTGGTGGTTGCAGGTGGTTGCCTCACGCTGATTGTTGCAAGGTTAGGAAGCTGGCCAGCTCCTTAGATTCTCAGTGTTGCTCTTTATTTCCTTGAAGCAAGACGAAAACTCAGGATTGCGCGGCTGTCTTCAAATAGTTCACCTTGCATCGGCAGTGAGATAGATGGTAGTCTCCCATAAGGGGACCCCAATGTACACCCCCAAAACACGATAGTTCTTTTCACGGGGACCCCCAAAATGGTATCGATACTTTTGGAAAGAAACTCCCATAGATTCTTCTTGGGTGAGAGCTGCGTGAAGAGGAAAATGCAGCAGCAGATGCTCGCCCTGCGCCAGGTACGAATTAGGGTTGAGGGTGAACGCTTTTGATCAGCTCTCCCTTGAGGGTCCAAGTACCCAAAAAAAGAGGCTTCAGGGCACCTAAAACCTTAAGATTGGGGGACTGGAACCCTTAGGGCCAGGTTTCATACGTATGCAAGAATGGAAGTTCCATCATCTGGCCCCCACCTGTAAGAGAAAATCTACTCCCCCTATTATTAAACCCCCAGCCCTCCTAATTTGAAATACTCCCCATTGTGGTATATTATGACACTATAATAGGAGTGTGCAATATTTGGGGGCGGGGCTGGCTTTGAAATCAGGGGGAGGGGATTACGTACGTCACGCAGTTCGACGACAGCATGGACAGCAATAGCCAGTGGAAGCATGAGACACATAAACTCAGCTTGAAATGGGTCTCACTGGACATAAAAGCGCAAGTTGCTTGCGATGAGACCATCAGATTCTAAGGGACCCCAAACCCGACACCCTAAACTAAACCCTAAACAGAACTGCTCAGCGTACCCTGGGGCCGATATGGTTCGTTTTCGTTGGTGTACCATTACCCCTTGCAGCAAAACCATAACTTATCCCTAAAGGAACCACATGTGAGCTACAGTGCAGCGAGCCCAAAACCTTAAACCCATCAGGAGCCATAAGCTAAGCTCCTTGAAGGGGCTTGTATACAGGATTCTAAAGTGGAGTCTTGCAGGGATGTTTAAGGGGGATAGTAGGAGTTTAGACGAAAGCTCTCATGATGCTGTAACATCGCCGGGCCGCTTCAAGGGCAGGTTTTGTGGCAATGGTTGGACGGAGGTGGCCCCACGCCCCACGCGCGCGGACCCAAGGCAGTGTTGCCTCGGATGGGGGAACTCTTCCACCACGTGGGCTATAGTGAACAACTTAAACGGGGTTATAATATTATATAGGGGGGTTATATAGGAGACTGCTATACGGGATACAAATGGGTGTACTAGGATTTTTTTAGGCTATAGCTCACGTAGGATCAACAAAAGTTCATTGTACTGTAGTTCGTATCTCTTAAGGGCCCAGGTACCCCAATATAAAGGTTTCAGCTCCTCTGAAGCCCCATTATTTGGGTACTTGAACATTCAGGGTACAGTATAAGGTATATAAGGAATTTCGAGCTCATCCATCCATAGCAGCATGCGAATGAGTTTCTAGAAAACTAGCTTGCATCTGTCTTGAAAATCATGGCAAAGGTGCTGGTGCCTTTAAAGCAATGCTGCTGTGGTCGAAGGAAATCGTGCAGCGCCGTGTGTACTCTTTCACAGATGAAATTATTTGCTTGAGTTTCTAAGTGGATACAATTGTTTCCTGCTTTCACAGTACGAAGAACTTATAACTTATAACTTACAATCATGATGAAGAACAGGCTTACCGGTGCAGTCCTGCTACTTGCCCTTGGCTTTTGCTGCAAGGTGTACGTCCATGCACTGGCTCTGAGCTTAGAAACTTTTGTGCCTGGTGCTTTACTTGCAAAGCAGGGTGTACTCCTTTACCTAAGGTCTCCAATAATACTGCTACTTTGGATATGTTTGGGCACAAGTACACCTATGACCTAAAGTCGTCAGAGCCACTTGGAGTCGCAGTGTGAGGATTTCCAGAGTTGGTGGCCTTAAAGACCCCATGGACATACAGGAATTTCACCGGTGTCCGCGTGCAAATTCTAGTCCCCCTTTAGTAGATAGAATATGAAACTGACCAAAATCATAATAAGATCCCCGAATACCTCATATTGTATCTACTTAATGTATACGAGACAGCACGGATTCTGAGGCCATCGAGGAAGCCCTCTTCAGAAGAGCCTTCTCCAGAGGCGTCAGGCAAGTCAGAGTTTCAGAAGCTCGTTTAGGGTTTAGGGTTTAGGGTATCTATCAAAATGGTCTGAGGAATTTTCCGATTGGTAGTTTTCCCCCATGTCATAAAAGCTTCAGAGATATAGCCCTTATATACCCCTATTCTTCCTGTATAAGACGTATGTAAGCCTCCTACCTGGTAAAAGCCTTCCTCAACACAAGCTCACCTTAGAAATATGGGGGTTTCCTAAAATGCCGGTACGACTTGGGGGATCCCAACAATAAGGGCTATAGTATTTAGGTTTGTCTTGGGGTCCCCTATTGAAGGAAGCTTCCGTTTAAGTCCGTAATACAAAAGAAAACTCATACTGTTGAGAACCGCCTGTTCAAGAACGCTACCACGATCATGAATATGAGGATTCCTTCCGGAATTCTGATGCTGGGCATCAATACTGGAGCCATTACCTAAGGTAATCGCATGACGATGTTTTGGATGGACCCGAGCATTCTCATGGCTACTACGACTTCTCTGAGTCCTGACGAGGGACCCAAATATTTAGGGTCTTTTATCCACATGCTGCAGTATGAGTGGTCCTGTGTACTTGAAACCGTCGCAACTCGATATTTGGGCCCCAGCTTTTGATACCGCAATCTGGAGGACCTCAGCTATTCTAGAGGAACATGATATATTTCCCCAGGTAGATAATTTTTTTGGAAACCTCGACCCAAAAACCCCAACCCTAAACCCCCAATCCCAGGCCCCAAACCCTAAACCCAACCCTAAACCTTAAACCCTATAAGCCTTAAACTATAATATACTTTCCAAGGTGCATGGTACTTTGGGTCATGCAGGGTT